ATCTTTCTTCCATAATTTGTTTTCAAATGTCTTTTTTAGTAATTTTATATGTAAAAAATATTTTTAAATTCTAACATCAAAATAATTTTTTTAGTTAAAAGTGTTTTTGTATATAACATTTAAATGCAAAATAATTTTAACTTTATAAAAAAAGTAAGGCATAATTTTTTTTTTTAAATAAATCCAAACATGTCCATAATTAACAAACAAGTCAAATTATATCCAACTTGCATAACTATTATCTTATGATTAAAAAAGAATTTGAAGTTTTTAATTATGACTAGTATGTAGGGGTGGCAATACAGGTATTGACCCGCGGGTTGACCCGTGACCCGACCCGCCAAATCACGTGTCGTGTCAACCCGCGGGTCAGGGCGGGTCGTGTCAGGGTTGTGTAAATGTGACCCGTTTTTTTTCGTGTCGGGTCACGTGTCAACCCGCGGGTTTGCGTGTCAACCCGCACAGTGTCATTTTTTTAATTTTCAATTAAATATTTTATTATATTATTATTTTTATTCATTTATATATTGATATATAGTCATTGTTTAGTATAGAAAAGAATACAAGGAATTAAAAATCTCAAGAAACAGAAGCTAATCTTTTTTTATTTTATTTTTTATTTTTTTATTGTTTTTAATTTATTTATTTTTCAAAAAATCCCACTTTTTTTTTAATTTTAAATTTTGCGAGTCGTGTCGTGTCGACCCGTGACCCGCAACGGGTCGTGTCAGGGTTCGTGTTTTGTGACCCGTTTACAAAACGGGTCGTGTCAGGGTCGTGTCAAATAGTGTACGGGTCAAAAACGTGTCGTGTCGTGTCGACCCGTATTGCCACCCCTACTAGTATGCATCATTACTATTGAATTATTAGCACACATTTTATATTTCATAATAGGGAGCGGTATTTGTCACCATTTTAGGTTTATCACTTTTCTCTTTTTCAAGTGTTAATTTCAAATTTATTCAACGATAACCAAATAAATAGTAAAATTGATAAACTTAAAATAGTGATAAGTATAACTTTCCCTTGCTAATAAACCCAATAATCTTAAATGACACTATATGCAGGACAAAAATAACAAACAACAAAGTAAAATGTAACCACCTCCTACTTTTAAACTGTAGAATATGAAGAAAAGATGAAAACAGTTCAACCAACTAATATAGATTAAGCATTATTATATTACTAAGTTCAAAAGAAGGACGAACGCAAGAATGAATTTTTCGATACTTTTTTTTAATATTTTTTCATTGTTTGATAAAATTTCATGTAAGTCCAATTAATAAAAAAATGAGTCTTATATAAATCAATAGTACACAAATAAGATATCACATAATAGTAAAAAAAAAATTAAAAAGAAAGTGCCAAAATATCCTTTTTGGTCCTCAGCAAATTTCACGATGTCCCCTTTAGTCCCTAGCAAATAAAAAAGTTATTCGTGGTCCCTAAAAAATTCAAAATGGATCTATTTAGTTGAAATCGTGGTCCCTCACAAATTAAAAAAAGACCCATATTAGTTCCTTAAAAGGATTAAAATGGGTCTATTTTGAATTTCTTAGAGACCACGAATAGCCTTTTTATTTGCTAGGGACTACAGCATGCATCGTGAAATTTGCTGAGAACCGATATATTCCTGATATTTCTGGTATAACAAATCTAAATAGTTGTTGGTAAACGGTCGTTAAAATGTGTTTTCTTTTTCCTGTTGTTATTTTGCCTTTCGAAGAGAGTTGAATTTCAAACTTCAAAGAAAAATATATTCCTTTTTCCCTTCGGTTCAACCCCCTGATGGTGCTTAGGAATGCATCCAACCACATCAGAACGAAGTTACACCCAGAACACGTTTTTAGTCAACCAGGAAACCTGAATCTAAATTGGAAACTTGGACCATGTCAATGTTTTTTTTTTTTGGAGTTAATATTTGATGCAACGAAAAGACACCAGGGATTCTTGTGAAAACTTGATATATATTTGAATAGATGAACCAAAAAAAAAAAAAGGAACAAGAAGGAAGAAAAATGCATTTTTAGTAAACAACCAAACAAATAGAAGTCTACTTAAAAGATTGCACTTCACATTTCCTCCATATTTTTTTCATCCAAATATACATTAAAAGACTAAACTAATAAGTTTATTTTATACAAAGTATATAGATTAAACTAATAAAAGACTGACAAATATAATTTTCTGTTAAATAAATTAAAATTTTGAATGAATCTTTTTCTCATACAATTATTTTACATTCAGAATTTCGTCTATATAAGTGGTATTCAATAAATATACTAAGTAATTTTACCTAAATAAAAAGAAGACGACGAGAAACCTATTTTCTTTTTCTTTTTTTGTTGAATGTTTTCCTTTTATTTTATATTGAAACCAAATTTTCTCATAAAAATGAGAGAAGCAACAATTAATAGCAAAACCTTCAGCCGGCCCACCTAAAGTCTATACTTGCTTAAAGTTGTGAAATATGCAATCCCGCTACAGTCGAATGTCAACACAGAATGGATACAATCACTGGTAATAGCTAATAGGAAGGCCCAGGTAAGGGGAGGATGAGATCGACAAAAATGAGTTATAAAGAATTGCCAGGATTTCACATGGTCTTGTTGGACTGAACAATTACACTTGATCGCAAATCTTAAAAAGAGAGAAAGGAAGAAAAGCGGAGATTAATTTATAAACTAGCGAGTGTGAGATGGAGAAAATTCTTGTACGCAGTATTTTTTTTTTGCATAATTGTAAAGAGACTGTTTCTTGTATTCGAACCCATGACCTTTAGTCATAAAGGAACAGTTTTACCACTGCTCCGATTTGTCTAAGCCTAAAATATTAAAAAATAAAATAAAATAAAAAATCCAAGGCCCATCACTGTATCAGACCTCTGCAGTTCTAAAAGCATTGCCCCAACACTCCCATTGACTTTTTTTGTATCCCGCTAACAAAAGTCATCATTTAAATTAGGGTTGGCAAAACGGGCCAACCCGACTCGACCCGGCCCAACCCGCATACAACCCGAAAAAAACGAGTCGGGTTAGGTTTGGCTCGAAAAAAAACGAGCCAGAAAACTCAATCCAACCCGACCCGAGTCGGGTTAGGGTTGGCTCGCGAATTAGCTCAAAATATGGCTCGTGGGTTGGCTTGAAAAAATAGCTCGCGAGTTGGCTCGCGGGTTGGTTCGTTTTCAGCTCATTTAAATGAACCTGTAGTATTAATGCACCAGCCATGTGGCTTCCATAAGCTTAAACAAAGGGTTACAAAATGAGAAATAAAAGCAAAATATTTTAGTTTCTAATTTTTTTCACAACAAATTTACACCAACATCAAGAAACAATCAGAATCACTTACTACCAAGTGGGTAAGATATTTGAACCAAACACAGCATAACAATATAAAAATGTTAGGGATGTGAGAAGATTAGGGATTTAGGTTTAGAGAAAGAAGAAAGACGATAACAACATATGTGGATTTTGTATATTATATTTTGTATTTAAAAAAAAAAAAAAAAACCTCAACCCGCGAGTTGGCTCGTTTGACTCGCGGGTTGGCTCGTTTTTTTTCGAGCTGGCTCGGGTTGGGTTGACTCGGGTTGGCAGCTCGTTTTAGCCAACCCAACCCGGCTCGTTTTTGACGGGTTACGAGCCAACCCGATGGGTTGGCTCATTTTTGCCATCCCTAATTTAAATATAAAATATGAGCAATACCCAACAGAAGAAACTTTGAAACGATATACTAGAATTGAAAGGTGATAGATAATGTTCAATCAAAAAAGAAGTGAAAGAGGGCTGTGAACGACAATTATGGGCTCACCCTAATCTCCTCCCCCACCAAGATTTGATCAACCTATTGGCTGCTGACCTTCTTGATCCTGGCCGTGATTCTGCTACTGCTACCAGAAGTTTTTTAACTTTCTGGGTTTGCTCTGTTTTATTGTTCTGTCTTTTCTTGTTTTTCTGTTTAGCTTCTTTGTTTTCTTGGGGCTCTGCCCCTTTATGTTAGCAAAAAAGAAGAAGAAGTGAAAGATGATAATCGTTAGATATAAATTTATTCATGAACTTGTATCTGATAAATTAAGATTTTGACGTTGGTCTTTGATAACAATTCATAGAATCAGAACTTATAAATTTATATCAGACATAGGAACATAGCAACTCTCCCTGCACACAGAGACGAACCCAAACTATCAAAACCCAAAATTAACATTCTACAGAGAAATTTATGAGAGGAAACATACAATAAATGTCATTCGGCCTCCAATGAATTTAACTTAAAAAAGTAAAATAAAAATTCAAAGAATTAAAAAATAATAGACCCCACACATTTATCAGAGGAACAATTCCCTTTAATGTCAACAGCTAATGATCCCAGCAAAATTATTTTTCACCGAACATTGGGTGAATTCATTTCGTTGTGGTATTGAACAAAATGGAATGGCCAAGAGGGCATTGGGTTCTACTGTTTCGAAGTTTCAAAAAGTGGGGAAAAAGAACAGGATGCATTGGAAATTTGGAATATTCCTATTTTATTTTTGTTGTAACTTGCACTTACGAACCTTAAAAAATATTGTGTAGAATTTACTAAGGAACTTTTGAGATTTTTTTTTTTATCGATAAACTTTGCCGGTCAGTTCTCCCTCAATAATGTTCTGTTAGTAAAAATCAAGGCAGAGTAAGAACAAAAGTATTTGAATAATTCATGTACCCACAAAAACGGGTAATTTGTAAAGAAATGATGAAGCCATGAGGTACCGATCCACTAGCCTCTACCAAATCGTTTTACTAACCCATACGGGACAGATTTTGTTTCACCTCCTTAATCCCCCGGGGTTTTTAGCTTTATAATATGATTATATGATTTATTGATGCATTAATACGCAATTTTCAAGCGCTTGTTTCCCCTAAATAGAGAAAAGACTTGCTGCCACAGGCAAAAATTGGAACGAGTGTGCAAATGACAATGCAATTATAGCGAAGCCCAAAACAAAATCCAACTAGTTTCCAAGCAGTGATGTCAAAAGTGCCAAAACAGCAACGACAATCATGATATTTAGAAAATAGTTTGACTGAAGAGGCTTATCTGGGCTTCCGCCAACCGCCTCATATTCAGCCCGTATCTTCTGCTTCATAGCCTCAGACAGCTCTCTCTGCAATTCAAATAGACACACTATTGAATTTTATTCCTTTCTTCTTCATTTAAGACTTCCAAATTTTACATGTGAAATCACATGATTTGAAAATAGCTCTTCTTGTATTACTAAAAGATACTGGCACAAGAAAACATGACACTTGTTTTTACTCCTGCACCAAACCAGGAAAAGTAAAAATATGAACAATATGCAAATATATATCCTATGCATGTCTTTCATGGAAAGATGCAACATAAATATTCTGCAAGTATCAACTAAATGAATGGTAAGATTTGATAAATTGTGCAAGATTAAAACCTTTCCAGAGGAGTACTTGGCTGCTTGAAACTTCTCTGCTCCGGCATTTGGAGAACCATCTATCACAATGCCCTGACAAACAGATTGCAAAATAAACTTACTACGTAACATAGTCAATTGTCTAGTTGTTTGCACTCATACACGTACCCAGACATGAAAACAAAAAGGTAACAAAGTTACGTATGCAAGAACAAAATCTCCAGGTCACTCTGGTCACATAAGCACACCCATCTTTATATGAAAAAAACAATGAGTAACAAAAAAAGGACAGACCTCTGGAGGATCAAATTTGGCTCCAAGGTTGCTAAGTTTGGCATGGGCTTCAGCATAATCTTTAAAGAATGCTTCCTGATCTTCAGCATATTTCTCAGCGTATACCTGCATATTTCACAAAGTTAAATTTAATATTGAATTATAATAGCCATGAAAATAAAACTCAAGCTACTTCACCTTGAAGGATGGATCTTCAAAAAGAGCAGCATCAGTTGGCAATACCAATAGATCTTCATCCTTCTTTTGTTTGATGTCCTGTATGTAACAACAGTCACAAAAGAAAATGGTAAACTCCTGCATACTCCCCCCCCCCCTTCCTTTCAATCTCCCTTACATAAATCCAAAAGAAAAAAAAATTACGATTTCAGACCTTGAAGTAAGAGTTGTCAAACTTCAACCATTGCACTGTCCAGGATTGTCCTCCAGGTGCTCCCGGCCCATCTTTCTGTAGACCGAGAGATACACATGAATTTCTACTGTTTTATTGAGTTCAAGTAACATTACAATTGAAAACTAGTTGGTCATTAGCATGTATACTAAAAAAAAAAGTACCACTCCCCATCAAACTCCGACTAACGAGGGTACGGGTGAAGACAATACTTATACATAGCAGTATTTTAGGCTGTTTTCCGGATTCGAACCCGTGACCTTTCAGTCACAAAGGAGCAGTTTTATCATTGCTCCAGACTCACCATTTGCTGCATGTACACTAACTCCAAGAGAAAAAATATGCTTGACAGGCATGTACACATAAGATTAGAGATAGTTAACAAAAGAACTACTAAGGATCGAGAAACAATTGAAGCATAGATTTGGATTCCATTTTCTCAAAAGTAAAATGAAGTTAGACTTAAGCATAGAATATCTACACAAACATAGTAAAAACAACCATTCATCATATCTGAATCATAGTTATAAATCCCAAACAGCGGCCAACTCCAAAACCATCGTAGTGGATAGCAGGATAAATGCTATTTCGAAGATTATAGATACAAGATAAATAATTTATATTATACATATATAAATGCTTAAAAAATTACCTAAAATTAAAGATATTTATAATTAATAATTGAAAGTCATAGTCTAAAACATAGTCACCAAAAAAATGAAAAAAGAAAAAAGCAATCTGATGGAATTAATAGAAAAAACAAATGGCGGCCTGTTATGGGTAAGGATTTTGAGAGGGGAAATCATTTTAAGCCAACAGTATGGAGGGTATATTCTCAAAGAAATAAGCCTAGTCAGCAATAGGCAGTTACACGGGCAGGGGTGTATAAGGAGTGGGAAAACATTGTAACGGGGAGCTTTTGGGAGTAGATCTATAGAGGACTGAGAATTGACTCAGTGCAAAGGATAGTTCCCCTTGAGATAAACACGTTTCTGTAACTACTTAATTGATCAATAAAGATTCATTTTTTTCTCCCTTAATCTTCTTTCTAGCATAGAGCTGCATCAAATTGGTCCCACCTGCCGGAGGAACTATGAAGTGTAAGAACACACTACACAACACAGAAAAAAAAAAATGAACAAAGACCTGCCACAAAGGGGCGTGAATCCTGCTTGAACACTGAAGAGACCCAACAGAGACCTCCATGAAGGGTGTGAAGGACGTGTGCGGGTGAGCAGGTTAGAAGAGGATACCGGCGAGCAATGGGTGTGTCGGAAAATGCCAGGCTTGGCGAGCAGTGGGTCAGATTTCAAAGTTCAAGACTGAGTCAGGTATTTTGTGTGAATGATTGTGGAAGAAGTTTCAAACTCTTAAAAGTTTCTGATCAAAACATGCATGAGAAATCACAAGTATCCGAAAAATAAAGGTTCAAAAACACAGAAAATGGGGGACAAATATGGGTTTTGCCCGTTCACCATAGCAACCGCAATTTTGGGCATGGCAGCCACAACCCAACAATGCAATGCAAATGAACTCCAGTGGCGGCCACCTGCCACAACACGACACGAAGGCACTATCACGCACAATTCATAACTATGATCTGATCATGACACAAAAATAGTAAGATACATTTTGCTTATGCAGCAAGGCCATAGTAGCTAATATTCAGACTAGAGATGTTGCATTGATAACGCCTTCAACACCAAAACAGAGCAATCTGCTTGAAACGAGCATTTATGATTTCAACCAGAAATAATATGTACTTGAAGTGTCCCTTGAAATTCCCTTCATCAAGTCAGTATTTATTTCTAAGTGCATCCGAAAAACAAGAATTTTTCTTTTTTTAAATTAGTGGCCACTCTCAATGATTCAAATCATGAGCTTATATTAAAACAAGCCTCAAGTTGAGGCACATTTAGAAGCCTCTGAGTAGCCAGCACTGAGTGTTTGGAGATCAGGGAAAATCACTATAAGAAAATCAGAAAATTGACTTGAATCTTCACTCTTCAGGTATTAGTGGGGCACAATATCTATTCAGAGAACAATCCAAAACTGCACGGTCAAGTGACTAGAAGGTGTAATATGGTATCTGAGTTATGAAATAAGAGAAAGAAACGTTATAGTGGCCATCTTTTACACGAGTAATCCAAAGTTTTAAGGCAAAACATAATAACCCATACTTCTGATTATTATGTACAGCTATCATTAGTGTCAAAACCAATGGCTATTAGTGCTCATGGGCAGTGCAATATCAAATATTAGAATTAGAATATGATATTAAAAGCTTTCAAATCTTTTTACAATAACATTTCTTATAACTCGCAAGAAAAAAGGGCAGATAATATACCGTATATTTAGTTTCAGGCTTGCCCCAGCCACTACGATCTGGTCTAGACCGCCCCAGTGTGTGGGCACCAGATAATGCAACAATTTCCTGCAGATGCAGTAACTTGATAATCAAAATCAGAGACATATTGGTAGAATACAATATACTAACTTAATCCTTTTGAAAAACAAAGGAAATTACCTTGTCATTCAAACCCATTCGGTAGAAAACTTGACGCAAATGATCAGCAGGTGAAGGGGGGCCAGCATCTATATAAAGAAAAAGGAAGTGTTTTTCAACATAGGATAAACTATCATGTAATATTAGTTAAAATACGCAATCCCTTATATCTTACCAGCCTATAAAGTAAGTATTTTTTCCCTTTTCTAACCACTCTCAGTTTTCAAAATATGTTTAATTAGTCTACAATTTGGGTTTGAACTATTTTAATATGAAAAGTTTTTGTCAAATATCCTTTCAATAAGAAAGGGGAAAGAAATGCAGAATTTTTTTATTCAAATATAAAATGGTTAGTTTAAAACCTTATATTTTATTTATTTTGAAAAGTTTAGTCTCAAAAACTAACCAAAAAAAACTAGTTCATATTTTACGATTGACCTCATTGCACCTAACTGGTTATTGACGGTTCTGAGTCTCACCCTTTGCTATTTGATATTTTGGTAGAAGATACACTATGAATTTTTTTTCCGCATTAAATATTCACTGATTCAGTTGCATTAAATTCCAGACAACTGACACATATATAAGTGTTATAGATGGTAATTTAAAAGGGCAAATGAAAAGGTCTAGCCCAATAAACCAACCCAACCTTATTTTTCATGGTTTGGGTTAATCATTTTGTGATTCCTTTGGTTTGGAGGATGTAAAAAAATGTTAGCTTGGGTTCAAGTCAAACCAGCCCATGCACACCCCAACCTGTAACTCCATGATACCTATCCTATTAATCTGGTTAGAACTTTTTGTATGATAAAAAAAAATACATGAATCACCACCCTTTGCATCTTTCTTTCTTAAAGTTTAACTTTCTATGTAAACAATAACAAGAAGAGCCGCAAAAAAAAGAAAGAAAAACACTTGAAGTTCTAAAGTATTCAAAGAAGCAATTAGAAATCTGCAAGTAATCAATTACTAGAAAGAAGAAATAGTATGCCTTGCATGAAATAGGTATAGGTACCGGTATGGGAGTACAAAAAGTAAGGAAGACCTCCATTAATGGGCTAAGTTGCGAACCACAATAATGGACTTCACATCATATCTTGACCAAAACCTTAAGGTTATGAGTCTCTGTCTTCTCATTTATATAGTTCTCACTTAACAAATTCCGAATAAATGTGTGACTTCATCACTCACACTTCAATTTCTAAGATAATATAAATACAATTTTCAAAATGTTCCAGCTCAAGTAAGAAAAAATATTTAAAGAAGGCACAAGTTTTGAATGAAGTGAAATACAATTTGTTTCATTTAGTAACAAACGAAACAACTTAGCAAAACCTAGTGTTATGCATGGACTTATTTATATTTGAGTGATAAGTGAGTATTGGGAACGTCACCATGTGTACCCACTAAGTACCGGTACTGAATACATACCTCATACGGGAGAATATCTTTAGCTCTAGTGTACTACTATAGCATTGAGTGTTTGTGCTACACCCATTCAAAAAAAGTTACCTGGATTGTTTTTCCATGTCAGATGCTTAGGTGGCATTTTATTTTAATAATATTGAAAAAAATTCCCTTTCTCCTCTAATCTCATTTCCATCACCGAGGAACTAAGCCCCACAATCTTGCGAGAGAATTGCCACCTTCGAAGAAACAGAACCTCCATGGCCTCCCTTATAAAATCTGCCATAGCTACCTCTTCTCACCATTTTTCTACAAAATACTGGTGAGGTCCCCTAGTGCCCTCAACGGGCTGTGGTGGACGCAGCAAGGCTCAGGGAACATGTGCACTTGGAACATGTGCACTTTCTTGTTGGAGCTTCCAAGAAAGGTTGTGGCCTCCCCAGTGTAGCTGCAATTTCTGGTCGCATCAGAATCCCTTGTTGCAGATCTCACACACAAAATGGTTCATCATCACCAATAAAGTCTAGGGTGACAAAGTAATCACCTCATCATCTAGGTCTGAAAAGGAAAAATTAAAAATAACATCGGTTGAATTGAAAGGGACAGAAACATTTTCTCCAATGGTGGTGGTTCTCCAAAGAGATTCTAGGGCTTCGTTCCTCAGCAGCGAAAGTGAGATCAGATTAGGAAGGGAAATATTTTTAATATTAAAAAGCATTCTTCATTAAACCTTGATTAGTGAAGTTAGGGGTGAGAGCAATCCTTGTACGCAGTTTTACACTTGCATATCAACAAATATGCTATTTTACCCTCACAAAGGAGCAGCTTCACCACCGCTCTAGGCTCGCCCTCTTTGGAAATATTTTTAATATTATTTAAATAAAATGCCACCTAAGCATCCAACATGGAAAAGCAGTCCACGTGTCATGTTTTGAATGAATGTAGCACTAAACACTCAATGCTACTCCTAGTATGCGTACGACAACTATTTATGAGTAACCCATGAATCATAGTAAATAATCACAAGGAAAATAGTTGAGGACTTCTAAGAATCTTTTTGAGTCAATTAAACTCTCCAACTGAAATCATTCATCATTGTCAAATTTACAGATGACTTTTTATTTTAAATGAGCACACATTATCCAGTTGAATTTCATACTTGTGCAAACAACTAGTGGTATCTCACAAGATGTCATGAAGAGCCTAGCATTTCAATTTTCAAATAGCCATCAGTTACTCTTAAATAGCCTCATATCTTGCACCTTCCATTGTTAAATTAAATTATCAATAGATGCCTTATAAATAAATAGATATTTGTTTCTCTGTGTTTCTTATTCCCAAATTAACAGTAGTTTAGACAATCCAAGTCCTAAAACCATCAGAGAAGCAAAGAAGAAAGTTTTCTAACACAATATAACTCCCACTGGATATATGGTTGCTCACCAGGAAGTCTCCCTTCCTCAGGGCATTGTTCAGGTCCAGAGACATCCACTCTTCCATATATCATAGGAATTTTTGGGCCTCCAGCTTCCTGAAAACTCCAAGAAAGCAGTCAATGTATCTTTTAATTAATTCAAATAGGCAATATCAATCCTAGAGGTGGCAATATGGGTTGGCCTGCCCTGACCCGTCAACCCGCCAAAAACAGGGCTGGACGACCCGTCCCGCCGTTGAATATGGGTTGAAAAAATAAACTCACCCTGTTTTATGATGGGTTGGCGGGTCAACCCACCAACCCGCCAATTAAAAAAAAATTAATTAAAATGGAAAAATAAATTATATTTTATGAATTTTATAATATTATTTAATTTTATAATATTATTTAATTTTATTTCACACTCCTCTTAATTTTTTCCAATCTCAATCTTAAATGTATACTAATATTCAATTAAACATTCTTTAGGAACTAATTTGTCTCCATATATAGATAACATTTGTCATAAATAAAGTTTTTATTCTTTATTTCTTCTAGGGAGTACTAAGATAAATTTTTTTTTGGATATCACAAAAGCACAATGACAAATAAAATATTACTTAATTGTATAAAAAAAAAAAAAAATTAATTATGACTCGGCGGGTCAACCCGTCCCGAGGCAGATTGAACCCGTTTTGACCCATTTTTAAGCGGGACGGGTTGAAGTGGGTTGGTGGGTTGAAAACCTTAACCCAACCCGTCCCATTTGGGCGGGATGACTTGCCGGGCTCAACCCATATTGTCACCTCTAATCAGTCCTGAAGCAGAAATAGGACTAAGGCAACCTCCACAGCTGTAGCACCAGCCAACTGAAATAAGTCTGCATATGTTACACTAGAGTATTTGTCTTTGATTGGCTGAAGAAGTTTCAATGCATTTACAAGTCCTGAAATGGCAGCTCATCAGAAAAAATTACCATAAGCAAAATTCAGAAATAATTAGTGATTAATAAATCCTTACCAGCATTGGCTGCATGTTTCAGCTCAACTTCATATCTTAAGCTACCATTAGCTCCACCTCTCTGTGGCCACTCCTCAATATTCTTATTGTAAGTACCAGCATCATGCCATCCCAAACGAATCTATCATATAAAAATCTATGTAAACAATTGAAATAAAAGAAAAAATAAATTAATCTATGCTACAAATTAAAATTATAAGACAACGATCCAAGTGTATGATGCAGGTATAAATCATCGATCTGAAAGATTATATATTCATCAGAGTTTGATATCTTGACTGGCTTAGTCATTTTGGTCACTGTAAAGTTTATTCATCATCCTTGGAAACTTGTTCAAAAGTGAGAATTGTCAAGCAATCAATAGCACCTCTTTACAAGCATCTTTTAAGATGAATGGTGAATCTATCAATCTCTGACGATATTAGCTGACCTTTTATTTATTTTTTTCTATTTTTTAGTGACCAAAGATATAGTAGATTTCTATTCAGAATACTGTATCAAGTGCTGTGTGGGCGCTTTGCACCACTCTTTGTAGGAGACGTTTTTGCACCAGGTTTGTAGTGTATCATAAACAATTCTGCATCAAGCAAAAAGGACTAGGATAGGAACTGCTTATCAAATGCTAAAGGCAGCACTTGAAATAACAAGGTAACGGACTAACAGGTCCATTTCCACATTATATGGGTGTGCTCCATAACAATAAAACTTGTAATCTTTAGATTTAAAGAGGAATAAATTTATGAATGCCTTTACAAATTCAATTTGAAGAAGAAAGTTAAAAAAAAAAAACTAAAATAAAGAGAGAATACAAGTTCCTGAGCATAAGCGATTTGATCAAAATTCAATGACACAGAGTTTAATTATTTAACTTATTTCTAACTTGCATACGTAGACGATTAAGTAACGCTAATAGTCTTCACAAAACGTGTTGATATTAGAAAGCGCCAAGAAATCCATGATTGAAGTGTGCAGTGTACTGCTTCAATGAAAAATGCGAGATCTAAAAAAACAAAACAAGTACCAGAAGAGGATGACAGAACTTGGTCCTGAGAAGCTCCTTGATGTCTTCCCTAGCGTTCTTCAGCTGATCAGGATCAGACGCAAAGGAATTCGGCGCAGACACTGTTCCGTATCCTCCTCTCGAAACACGAACCTCTGCTCTTCGCTGAAATATCGCGCGCGCGATTCGTGAACACGAGCACAAATTTAATTCAAAATCGAAAGCATTGATCAGAGAGAAAGAAAGAGATGAAACCTGATTGAGAAACAGGTGAGAAATGCGAGGAGAGGACAGCAAGCAATCGAGCTTGGAATCAGAACCAGAAGAGAAAGAGGAAGATTTCGATGAGCACGAGAAAAGCGAACGGGAAGAGGAGGAGAGTGAGAGGGAGGCTCTGGTAGCGGAGGGGATCATGCGAGCGGCGGCGGCGCCACCCAATGCAGCCATTTTGGTTAGAGACGGTTGAGATGGTAAAGGCAGTGAAGGAGTGAGTAACACACGCTCTGCCATTTAGTTGAATTTAATATTTTTATTTAAATATTTATTTCGTTTCCTCTCCTTGTCTTTTGGATGATGATCTGCCACACTTACAATTACAACTCTACTTGTGTTCCGGAAATAACGCTCTACATGCTTTTTTGCCCCATCTTATCCCCAAGGGCCGCATCATTCAGGTGTTTGGTGAAGGGGTTACTTATCTACCTATATTTTGGTATTTTGCTTTTTTTAATGTAATTAATTATCAATTAAAATTTTAAATATCTATATTAAAAATTAAAATTACAATAATTTTTGCTAGCAGTTACAATTTATGTCAAACCTGTTTAACTTTTTAAAGTTACCGTTAGCTTTAAATATTTTTTTATTTTCTTGATTTATCAGTTAAAAATGAAAAATATAAATTAACGATGTTAAAAAGGAACTACTTAAAGTTAAATATCAATGTTATCAAAAAAAAAAAAAAGTTAAATAAAGTTAACCACAATGCAAATAAGGCGCGTGTTGGGACGCGCGCGATAATTCTCTTTCTGCTAGGGTTCTTGCTGAATTTTTTCGCTGGTGTTATGGAGGAATCGAAGGAGAGTTTCAATGATCCTTTGTCGATGGATAGGAAGAGTACGAAACGCACGAAGAGTGGAGATGAGATACCGATGGAAGCTCGTATGAGAGATGTTGTGGAGGAATTTCAATCTGGCGAAGTTGTGTTGGAGAAACAACGATCTTTTGCTGAGGTTACTGTGATGGAGAATGGAGTTTCGGGGGAAGCTATTCCCTGGTTGCAGGAGGAAGAAGTTGCTGATCTGGACCCGCTTGACACGAATCAGGGGGAAATCTCTGAATGGGGGTTCAGACGATTGTGCGTGAAGATGGTTCAGTGGAGATCCGTAGTAATGGTGAGGCTAGAGCGAGGATGAGGCAACGCTGGAAGAATGCACTGATTGTCAAGCTGTTGGGGAAGAGGATCGGTGTTGGATTCATGAAAAGAAGGTTGGAAGCACTTTGGGCAAAGGCAGGAAGCATTACTGTTGCTGACCTAGGAAATGAGTTTTTTTCGGTCAGATTCAGCAGCTTGGAGGATTTGAATCTAGCAATCACGGGAGGTCCATGGGTGATACTGGGTCACTACTTAGCAACGAGGAAGTGGGAGCCTTGTTTTGATCCGGACAAGGCGAACATACACAAGGTTGCTGCATGGGTGCGTCTTCTAGGTATTCCACAAGAATATTGCGAATTTCCTTTCCTGAATCACTTAGGAACTGTAATTGGAAAAGTGTTAAAGGTTGATAGAACAACATCAACCGGGGATAGGGCTAGATTTGCTAGGGTTTGCATTGAGATTGATCTTGCTAAACCCTTGAAAGGTGAATACATATTGGATGGCTGTAGGAAGAGGATTGAATATGAAGGTCTTTTCTTAATCTGTTTAAAGTGTGGGCGTTATGGACATAATTCTGAGTCTTGTCCAGATTTTGTTAAGACTTCTCCCAAGGATGCACCTAGTGAGACTCCTCATCAGTCAATGGATAAGCCTGGAGTTCAAGGGGTTGGGGAATGGATAGTTGTTCAAAGGAGGAAGAAAGGCACTCAAGGTTCTCAGAGAAAGGAAGTTAAGAATTCTAGGTTGTTTGGGGCAGACATTTCTAATTCTAAGCAGGAAGTGTGTGATCATGTTGGAGGAAGTGGTATTTTGAAGAATGTTTCTAGTAATAAGCCAGAAGAGGAAATTGGTAATATTCTGGTGAATAAAGAAAATCTGCCTTCGGTTAGCAACCCCCCAAATATAGAGGGGGTGATGAAATTTTCAGCCAAGGCCTCTAACTTTAATAAGAAGAGTTCAGGGGTGAAACAAGGGGCTCCTATCCCTAGAAAGAATTCTTCTAAGACTATGTCAGCCAAAGGAAAAGGGGTGCAAATCCCATCCTCTCCCATTCTGGTGGCTGAGAACAGCAGACCTTCTCAGACTCACATTTAGCAGTCCTCTTTTGCCGTTCTGGAACAACTCAATGGAAAATTTTGGGGTGATTTAGTGATGGAGTATGAACTCGATTCTGTAGTGACACAAGTGGATAATACTGGCTTTGGTCAGCAGGCTGGTCAGCTGAATATTGGGACTAGATTGCATACTTCTGATCCTCCTGATCTAGTGATGGGGGATGTGGTTAAGAGAATTGGAAGTCAAACTAATATGGAGATGAACCATGCTTCCAATATAGCTCTGGGCAGTACCCTGCATGATTTGGGCGATGTAACATGTGTAGGAGGTGATGTTGAAATTCAGGAGGCTATTGATGTGAGTGGCAAGAACTCTGTAGTCTTGCAGCAACTTCAGATTTCTCCATGAATGTGATGACCTGGAACTGCAGGGGTGCTGTTAAGAAACAGCTCAAAAGTACCTTTAGCAGATTTCGTAGGAAGTTTGGGGTTGGTGTGGCTGCCATCTTGGAGCCTAGAGTCAGTGGAAATAAAGCTCTGAATATTATTCGGAGTTTGGGATTTAATAATTCTATTATATCGGATGCCCATGGCTATTCTGGTGGTATTTGGGTGGTTTGGGATCCGGTTGATATAAATATTACACTCATTAATAAACAGGATCAATTTATCCATGTTTGGGTTGAATTTCCCGGTAAGGAAGGCTTCTTCTGGACAGCTGTCTATGCTAGTACTCATGAGGAAAAGAGGAAGCTGGTGTGGGAAGACCTGAAGCATATTGGGAGGACTATGAATGAACCTTGGATGCTATCAGGAGACTTTAATGAAATCAGATCTGCCACTGAGAAGAAAGGAGGTTGTCCTGCTGATCTTAGTAGATGCAAGAAGTTCAGTGATGTCCTGGATGCTTGTGAGGTCTTGGAATTGGGAGGTGGAGGCAATCGGTTTACTTGGAAAGGCCCTAAATTCAGTCATTTGGATAGAGTTTTTAAAAGGCTTGACAAAGTTGTGGCAAATGATGTGTGGAGAACCCGTTTTGAGGATGCTGAGGTTTTGAATCTTCCAAGGATATTTTCTGATCATTGTCCTATTCTAGTTAGATTGTAAAAAGGAGAGTCTTGTTGGAGAGAGAGACCATTTAGATTCATGGCTGTATGGCAGAATGATCCAAGGTTCAGTGATTTACTCAAGTTTAATTGGGATTCTAGTTCCAAGTTATTGGACAACTTGCACTCTTTCATTCCAGTGGTTAAGGACTGGAATAAAAATGTGTTCGGGTTCATCTTGTTCAAAAAGAATAGAGTGATTCCTAGGCTGGAAGGAGTTCAAAGACAGATGTGTTTGCATAATAGTCATCACCTGGAGGATTTGGAAGCTAAGTTAATCCAAGAATTAACTGAGATCCTAGATCAAGAGGAATTAATCTGGTATCAAAAATCAAGAGGGGAGTGGATCAATGGGGGTGATAGAAATACCAGATTTTACCACACTAGGACCTTGATCCGAAGGAAGAGATATAAAATTTTAAAACTTCAGAACAGTGGTGGTGGATGCGTTTCTAGAGAGGATGACTTAATTCAACTAGCTGGGGATTTTTTCTTTAATTTATTCAAAGAAGATCTTTCTATAGCTGAATAGATCAATATTGTTTCTTCCTATCCAGCTCTCAGGGAGGAGGATAGACATCTTCTGTCTTTGGATATCTCTTCTGAGGAAGTTAGAAAGGCCTTTTTCCAGATGCCTCCATTGAAAACTCCAGGACCTGATGGGTTTCCTGCGCTATTTTATCACAGAACTTGGGATTTGGTCAAAGAGCAAATGTTTAATAGTATGAAGTGGTACCTTTCCAAGCCGGATCAGATAAGGGAGATCAACCATACTTTTCTTGCTTTGATTCCCAAGGTGGATAGGCCCTGCCTCATGAAGCAATTTAGACCTATTGCTTTATGCAATACGGTCTACAAAGGCTTAAGTAAAATTCTGGTGAATAAAATTAAACCTTTTATAGGAAATCTCATTGCTCCTAACCAGGTGAGTTTTATTCCTAAGAGGAATATTCAGGACAACATCATTATTGTCCAAGAGCTTATTCACTCTATGCATAGGATGAATGGAAAGAATAGCTTCTTTTCAATCAAGATTGACTTGGAGAAGGCATATGACAGGCTCAATTGGGGATTTATTGAATCAGTGCGTGAAGAGGTGAAGCTCCCTGGTGATTTGATTGCTGCTATTATGGGCTGTGTCACTACACCTTTCATTGAAGTGCTATCGAATGGTGCTAGAACTTCTGGTTTTCTTCCTCAAAGGGGGATTAGGCAAGGGGACCCACTTTCACCCTACCTGTTTGTCCTTTGTATGGAAAAACTTACATACCTAATCATGGATGAAGTGGAAAGAAAGAATTGGCAGCCAATTAAGGTTGGTAGGTCAGGGCCACAGATTTCCCATCTGATGTTTGTTGATGACATCATCATATTTGCTGAAGCTTCCTTAAGCCAACTAGCTTGTGTGTCTGACTGCTTGGTTAATTTTTCCAGAATGTCAGGTCAGTGTGTGAGTATGGAGAAATCATGCATCTATTTCTCTATGAATACCCCTCCGGGGATTGTTGATTCTATTTCAGATGTAAGTGGCTCCAAGGTAGTTAAGAATACTGGTTTCTACTTGGGAGCTCTCATGAGGCATGGGAGGGCTAGTAGAACACACTATGCTAGTGTCATAGCTAGAGTGCAAAATAGGCTTCAAGGATGGAAATCTAAATGTTTGTCTTTGGCTGGGAGAATTACTTTGGCTAAGAGTGTGATTTCAGCAATCCCAATGTATCATATGCAAAATAATACTTTGCCAAGCCATATATGCCAGGACATTGAGAGATTGCAGCAAAATTTCATTTGGGGGGATTCAGATACGAAAAGAAAGGAACACTATGTTGCTTGGGACCAACTCTGTAAACTTAAAGACTGTGGGGGCCTTGGTATTATAAAGCTCAGATTTCAGAATGAGGCTTTTATGCAAAAGATTTCTTGGATGCTCATCAATGATCAAGAGAGTCTTTGGTCCAAAGTTTTACTTGGTAAATATGGTAGGAAGCAAGATCCTAGAAGAGGATTTATTGTTAAACAAGGGGACTCCCCTCTATGGAAGAGTATCTGTTCGGCCAGAGTTAAGATGGACCCTCATTTGACTTGGGAAGCTGGAAATGGCAAATCTGTGCTTTTTTGGGTAGACTGTTGGAATGGTTGGAATTCCAGTTTATATGAGCTTGCTTGTGTTAAGCCTCCCAACACAGATTTGGGTCTAAAAGTCTATGATTTGGTTGCGCATGGAGTAGGAGGCTGGAAGTGGGAGTATTTGGAAAATTACCTTGATGATGGCATTATTAGGAAGCTGCAAGATACTCTGTCCCCTTCATCTTCTGGTCTGAATGATAGGCTGTGTTGGATCTTACATAGTGCTTCTAGATCTATGGTTAGGAATGCTTACTGTCAGCTAACTGATCTTTATGTTGGAAAAGATAAGCTTTGGTCTTTTATTTGGAAATGGAAAGGACCATATAGGATTGCAGCATTCTTATGGCTGGCTTGTTTGAACAAGCTCCCTATTAGAAGCATTATTGGACTTTGGAGTGGTGGAGAGACATCCTATCCCAGCTGTTTTGACAACCAGGAGACAATCTTGCATGTGCTGCGTGACTGCAAAAGAGCCAGAAGTGTTTGGGAGCAATGGTTTGGAGGAATTGTACCAGAAGCCTTTTTGGCAGCAGAGGGTATCGATTGGTTTAAGCTCAATGTTTGTAAATCCTTCTCATCCATTTTTGGCAGCAGAGGGTATCGATTGCAGCATTCTTATGGCTGGCTTGTTTGAACAAGCTCCCTATTAGAAGCATTATTGGACTTTGGAGTGGTGGAGAGACATCCTATCCCAGCTGTTTTGACAACCAGGAGACAATCTTGCATGTGCTGCGTGACTGCAAAAGAGCCAGAAGTGTTTGGGAGCAATGGTTTGGAGGAATTGTACCAGAAGCCTTTTTGGCAGCAGAGGGTATCGATTGGTTTAAGCTCAATGTTTGTAAATCCTTCTCATCCATTTACTGGCAATCCTGGAATGAAGCCTTTTTTGTCACTTGTTGGTTCTTATGGCATTGGCGAAACCTTATGGTACATGATAACATGTTCTCTTGGCCTGGGGATCCTTAGAGTAGGATACTGATTTATTTAAAAGATATGAAAAAATATTGCAGCAGTGATCCTTTTTCCCAGGTGCAAATAGAGAATCCCTCTTTTATTGGTTGCTGTAGTAATGCTCAAAAGGAAGCTATTAAAATCCTGGTTGATAGAGCTGTCAACTTGAACACCAAAGTTGGAGTTTGTGGAGGTTTTATTTGCAACTCTAAGGGTGAGTGGTTATCTGGCTTCTCTCTCAATATTGGCAGCTGTTCTTGCCTTGAAGCTGAGCTTTGGAGAATTTGGCAGGGACTTCAATTAGTGAAGGATCTGAATTTCAAGGAAGTATGGATCGGCTGTGATAGCAAGGAAGCTATTTTTTGTATTAACTCATCAACTGAAACAGATGGTAGTTCCCTGTTAGTTAGGAAGATTAGAAGTATTGTTCATTCCTTGGAACATGTTTATCTTGAGTATGTTCTCTAGAATTTAATTCCTGTGCTGACAGGTTAGCTTCTTTAGGTTGAAAAGGTAGGGGTGGAGAGTTGAATGTGTATTCCTCTCCCCCTACAAGTATTTTTCCTTTTTGGAAATAATTTTGTAGCTTTCTGCTGACGGAGCATGTTTCTTTTGACATGCATCAGCTTTCAACTTAATTCTACTGGGTTAGGCCCTCCACTTTTACCAAAAAAGAAAAGAAAAGAAGAACTACTTATATAATGCTTAATTTCAAGATATTAGTGAGTTCAATACAATGATTTTTGTACTGAAGTTTGATAAAATAAAAATTTATAATATTTATATGCACATGGTTTTGATAATTGGAAAATGTCGGACTTTTAATAGATAATAATTTCAACATATTATTTCACCAATTTTTTGTTTCAAAATATTTAAATAACCTCTCATTTTTTAAACTTTTATTAAAAAAATACATATATTTGCTGCAATATGCATGAAACTACTGTTTTGTTGAAGACAGAAAGTTACCGTGTCGTGCGCATCAATCTATTCTGAAATTTAGCTAATGATATGGTAGACGGGTATTTTAGTGCCTGAATCCTTCTTCTTTTTTTAAGTTAAAGCTACCATTACTTAGGTCAAATAAGTTTTAAGAAAAGTTCTTATAATAAAAAATTTCTTTTCTTATAATAAAGAAAAAAAAAAGTTCTTAGGATAAGTTTTTTTTAAAGCTATTATATGCTTTTCTTAAATTGTGTATTTTTTTTTAAAATGAAGAGCTATAGAGATAAAAAAAAGAGATAATTTTCTTGAAATATATATTTTTAAGTAACATTTAAGCTAAATTTTTTATGTAATTATCAAATAACTTTTAGTGTTTTTTTAAGCTATTTTTTTAACTTTAATTTATAAGTAACTTATAACTTAAAAGAGAGAGGATCCAAACAGGTTTTTAAATCTTTAAATATAGATTTTGGGGGAAAGAATGAAGATATAATAAATAGTAAAGAGTTCGCTTTTTCTATGGTCAATATAGATAACTATCTGTATTGGACTCAAAATGATGTGGTTTTGAGACGAAAATCAAGATATTTTTGTAATTATAATTTATTTTAGGGTTATAATAGTCTTTTTTATTATAATTTTTTAACGCAATGTCATTTTAGGAGGGAATGTAAATAACTTATCTATATTCAGTGTATAAAGCCGTATTAAAAGGCACAAAATCATCAAATCAGCATTAAAGAAAAATACATATAATGAGAATGAAACCCTAAAAACAAGGGGGGCCGGGGGTTAATGGGGTGGAGGCAATCCCTTGCCAAAAATCTTAAGATAAGCTTATATACATATTTCTGTACACATCACTTCATATTACTTTAAGTAATTATTTATCAAAATTATTGAATTTTGTGGCAGAAATTATGATTAATTATAAATAAATTTAAGTAACAATTATTGGATATGTAATTTTGATAC